GGAGGCCATCGAAGTCGAATCGAATCGGCTCGGAGGAATCGAAACGAGCCATGCACCATGATCCTACCGCACCGACTTCGATCGTACCGACCCTCGGCCGTCTGCAGAGCTGCAGGGGGCCTGCCCAGCGACGATGCCCTCGGTGAAGTACACCACGCCCCTGGCCAGGCCGTCGGAGCCCACCTGCCGCCAACGCGCGCGCCGCTCTTGGGCATCGACCCCCCCCCCCCCCCGCGGTGGCAGCATGACGACAGCGGGGGGCTTCCCCTCCTCCTCCCTCCTCCTTCCTCCTCCTCCTCCCTCCTCCTCCCTCCTTCCTCCTCCTCCTCGCTCCTCCTCCTCCTCCTCCTCCTCCTCCTCCTCCTCCTCCTCCTCCCTCCTCCTCCTCCTCCCTCCTTCCTCCTTCCTCCTCCTCCCTCCTCCTTCTCCTCCTCCTCCTTCCTCCTCCCTCCTCCCTCCTCCCTCCTCCTTCCTCCTCCTCCTCCTCCTCCTCCTCCTCCTCCTCCTCCTCCTTTCTCTTCCTCCTCCTCCTCCTTTCTCTTCCTCCTCCTCCCCTCTCGGGCGCGGCCTCTCGCCGACCCCTCTCCAACCTGGCGGAACCCCAGTACGCAGCGCGCAGCCCCGTGGCGTGTTGCCACGGAGCTCCCCGCACGGAGGCTGCAAAACGCAGGCTTGGTGAGACTGGGGGAACGGCGGTAATGGCACCGCCGGCATGTGTCCCAGGCGCCCATTTCGGAACACCCCTCACATTTTTCAACCTGGCGGAACCCGAGTACGCAGCGCGCAGCCCCGTGGCGTGCGGACACGGAGCTCCCCGCACGGAGGCTGAAAACGCAGGCCTGGTGCGACACGTTCGCCAAAACTCGGATTCGCGAGGGTGAAGCGAAGTTAGACTCGCATCTCCCCCTCCTCGCTTGTCTGCGCGTGCGCCTTTCAGCATGTCCGCCGCCACTTCGGGGTCGAGAGTGGGGCCGCTTGTCCAAGAGGGGGGCGGCACTCGGGAGCGGCCAAGAGGGGGGTGTCCAGGAGGGGGGGGGGTGCAGATCATGACCGGCGGCACGTGCGCGGCCCAGCGGGGGGGGGCAGGGACGCACTGAAACAGGAAGAGGCGCCATGAAGTCTGGGGAAATATCCCGACCCCCGCCGTGATACCCACCCACCCCTTCGTCATCACCCCCCTCTCTGCCGCCCCCGAGACACGCCGAGCCAACGCGCAGCGTTCTGACACGGACGCTTTGAACACGGCACACGCTGCGCTTCACAACGGGCGTGTCAGCGCAGAGATCAGCTAGGGGAAACCACCGCCGTCCGTGCCGTCATCCTCGCCGTTCAACCTCCCCTCTGGCCGCCCACGCACTTCTTGGGGCGGGGAGAGGGGGACGCCATTGACGGGGACGGCTAGCTAGGGGTCGTTTAGACCGCCCCTGACCCCTCGGGGGTCGACAGACCCCCTCTAGCAAAGCGCCCGTAGGTTGAAGGCTGCCAGGGGCATTCCACGTGCGCACGGCACCACATTCCGAGTAGACCCCAGCGGGACAGCTGCCAGACGTCCAAGCGCAAGCGAATGCATCCGGCGAGACGCACGTCGATTCGCGAAACCGACTGCGGACTCCACCGATACATGCGACTGCCAATGTCGAGTGAACCCGTGCAGATTTCCTCAGTCGACCTGTCTGGGGGGTGGCGTTCTGTCAATGCCCGACAGCGGGGGGGGCCCTCCTCCCTCGACCATCGATCAAAGAATCGAAGAATCGAGGGTCAAGGATCTCGGCTTTTGGACACGCTGGTTTCTGCGAGGGCTTCCCGGGAAGGCCAGGATGGCCGCTGGGTGACCTCTGATAGCTCAGGAGTGCCTCTGCAACGCCTCCATTTTTCAACTCGGCCGCACGCAAGAAGTGACCCTAGGCAAGACTGACCCGTAGTGCGCGGCCCCATCCTCGATCGCCAAGACACCAGCCCTAGGAGAGCGTTTGCGACCGGTGGCCCTCGGCGGCACACCATGACAGCTAATTGCCCAAACCCCAGACAAGAATCCACTATACCAAGCCATGCTTGATGGATGTCCCCAAACCTTCGTCATTTCAGACGGCGCCAGAGATCCCTTCATAACCATTATCGACCCCCCTCTCGACAAACCGGCAAGACCTCGGTCAACTGTGAAAACAGATCCTCGATGACAGTGACTGCTCACCCCGAGACGATGTTAATGCTTTACAAATGGATAGCTTCCAATAGTAGTCGTTTATGTGATCCTGGACGCACGTCGCCATCGTTCGTATGGGCGCTCCGTCAGTTCATGGCGCGCTTCGTCATTGCGAATGTGCCCAGCATCGTGCACGGGCACGGGACCAATACTGAGGCGAAGGGACAGGATCCCTCGGGCCTTCTGTGTATATGCGTATGCAGGTACACGCGTGTATGTGTAACTATATGTATATTCTATCCAAGAGAAGCCCCATTCATAATATTCTTAGTGATATCGGGCTATGGGAATATAGGGCTATGGGGCCATAGGGCTATAGGTCTACAGGGCTATAGGGCTATGGGGCTATAGGGCCGTATGGCTAGATGTCTGTAGGGCTATAGGGCTATGGGGCTATGGGGCTATGGGGCTCCGGGGCTATGGAGCTATAGGGCTATAGGGCTATGGGTCTATAGGGCTATGGGGCTATAGGGCTGTAGGACCATCGGGCTATAGGGCTATAGGTCTAGAGATTAATAAGGCCTTAGGTCTATAGGGCTACAGGGCTATAAGGCTACGAGGCTATAGGGCTATAGGGCAAAAGGGCTATAGGGATATTGGCCTATAGGGCTATCGGGCTAGAGGGCTATAAGGCTATGTGGCTCTGGGTATATATGGCTATAGGGCTATAGGGCAATAGGGCTATAGGGCAATAGGGCTTTAGAGCTATAGGGCTATAGGGTTATAAGGCTATGGGGCTATAGGGCTACTGGGCTGTTGAGCTGTAGGGCTACAGGGCTATTGGGCTATGGGGCTATAGGGCTTTAACGCTATAGGGCTATAGGACTGTAAGGCTATAGGGCTACAAAACATCCGGGCACCCGGGCGGGCCGCGGAAATCGGTGGCAAAACTCACCTAACCATATAAATCCGCTAGGACCCCTACAGAGGCAAACTCTGATTGGGAGAAAAATGACAACAGCTTCACACATGGAGGGCGGGTGGTTCTCAACATGTGGCTCTCGCCTTGGCGCCGCGCACATTATTTCTAAATAGGGCTATCGGGGTTTAGGGCTATAGGACCATAGGGCTATAGGATAGGGTTATAGGGCTACAGAGCTATGGGGCCAGAGGGCAATGGGGCTATAGGCATATCTAGAACTATAGGCATATAGGGCTATAGGGCTATAGGGCTAACAGGTTATAAGGCTATAGGGCAATAGGGCTATAGGGAGATAGGGCTATGGGGCTATAGGGATATTGGAATATAGGGTTATAGGGCTAAAGGGCAATTGGCCTATGGGGCTGTAAGGCTATAGGGCTATATGACTATAGAGCGATGGAGCTATAGAGCTATGAAGGCTATAGGGCTCTAAGGCGATACAACTTTAGGGTTATAAGGCTATAAGGCTAAACCGCTATAGGGCTATAGGGCTATTTGGCTATAGGGCTATAGGGTTATACGGCTATAAGGTTGTAGGGCTATAGGGCTATGCGGCTGTAGGGCTATTGGGCTGAAAACCTATAGGGCTGTAGGGCCATAGTTCCATGAGGCACCCGGGCGAGCCGCGGAAATCGGTGGCAAAACTCACCTAACCACATGAATCCGCTAGGACCCCTACAGGGGCAAGCTCTGATTGGGGAATCATGTACGTGCATTCGTGTGAAGGGAGCGTGGCAGGACAAAAAAAGCAACACGACACCGACCACGACATCGTCTTCCTCCTCGCCATCCCCCCAGTACTCCTCCCATTGCTCGCCTGCTCCTCCTCCTGGAACCTTCTGCCGCATGACCGCCAGAAGCCCCCAGGCCGGCAGTCGCCTGCACCTCGCCAACAAAGGCTACCTCGGGCGCCGTGACATCCAGGGTGTCGTTCTGGAGGGTGGTGAACTCCCAGCTGCCTGCGGCACCAAGGCCGCACATGTACATGAAAACACTATTCCTCAAACAGTGCGTGCACTTAGGGAATCTGATTTGTGTTCTAAAGAATTGGGCCTGCGGGCCGCTCTGGCCGCCATGTGGCCGCCGACGCCGCCGTGTGGCCGCCGTCGCCGCCTCGTCGCCGCCCGTCGCCCGGGCCCGCGGGCCGCTCTGGCCGCTAAGTGGCCGCCGTCGCCGAATGCACCACATAGGGTTGCGCCCCATAGAGTGCTGCACAGCATGACATGCAACTTAGGCTGCACCACGTAGATTGCACCACATAGGCTGCACCTCCTATAGTGCACCACCTGTATTGCACCGCGTAGCTCGCAACATATTTATTTGCACCACAATGGGTCCTCTTTAACATTCTCCCCCAACGGCTTCATCGGCACCCCCTGGGATGGTGCAAAATGCGTAAGAAACAGCTCAATCGCTCACTTGAAATATGAGCCCAAGCCCCGGAATGCCGCGATCGGGCCCCAATCATCCAAGTCAAACGCTGTTACGCGCACGCTCAACTATCGGAAACCATGAATTTTCAAGAACAAGCCCTTGCAATACAGGTGATGAAGTCAACACGCGCGCGCATGCCAGAACTCTTCACAAACATCAAATATCGTACGGGTGTACAGGTCGAAGTCCCCGAACACATCTACACATAATCGTTTTGCAACCCGGCTGCTCGGAAAAACTCTGAGCGCGCTCTTGCGAATCCGTATGACAACCAAAAGTTGTTCAACATGACCATCGCAGGCGACCAATCGGGCCTTGTCGGGGAAGCGCATGTCGACATCATTCGAGTGTTTTTGCGCTGTTGCTGGGGGGGCACGGCCCTGTCACACCATACAATGCGGGTCTCTCGCCCGCGTCGGCCGAACCCGCATGGCGAAATCCTTCCAACACCTGCATCACCGACACGTGGACACGATTGCAACACATAGATTGCGCCACATGAGTGGCACCACATCGTATGCTAGAAATGACAGCTTGGAGCCTGCGCTGGCGAACGTAGCAATGATGTCTATATATATATATATATATATGTAGACATGTACGCATATACGTGTGTACATATACATATACATGCACAAAACAAAAACGCGCTTCGAGCTCTGCGCTGCACGGAAACGGGGGGCGACCATCGGCGGAGCCCGAACTGTCAGCGTCCCGACAAGATGGCTGCCTCATGCCGAGGGAGGCGGGGAACGGGGAGGCACGTGTACGGAAGGTGCTGGGGGCAATGCAAGACATTCCATGTGCTCGTCCTCCTCCGGAGAAGCCGCCGGCCCTCTCGGCGAAACCTTTTGACGCCGGGTCGGCCAGTGGCTCTCTGGGCGACGTAAAAAAGCGGTGGCGCATCGCACATCGCACGAAGCGCACGTGGTTCAGAATGAGCGGTGCAGTCCCCAGGCGATGCGCGCCGGCCTGCGGGTGCACTCCTGGGGCTACGGAGCCGCTGGACGTCCAGAGCAGGCTGGGACAAGCGTCGGATCAGCACCGGTTGAGCTGCACGCTTGTTGCTTCAGCCGGCGGAGGTGCAGCAGATGGGGCCCGCTGCAAGCGCGGCTGCCTTGCTGCCCGGCCATCCGGTAGAGGGGAGCAAGTACAGTGGACACTCCCCCGCCCCCCAAAACTCCAGGCTGGCACGCGCGGGGAAGAGTGCGGTCGAAGTACAGCTCGGCCAACCCACCGCCAGCACTGACAATGGGGGGGTGGGGGGGGGGGGGCATTGGCAGATTCAGGTGGCACGCAAGCAAGCAAGCAAGAAGTCATACACCCGGAGGTGCGTAGGACACAAATGTGGAAAAACATGGAAACACGATCATCAGCATTATACAGATCATGTTGCACTACACCTGCAAGTTTGCCGTGCGCACGACATGCCGCCAAGTGGCACGAGCGTTCGCTAATTTCTGCCGAGGCCTGCCTCCCATGGCCCGCTCGACGCCTGAGGCGGCAGGCTCCGCGGGCCCGCGGCGCGTCCCCCAGGCGCTTCCGAGCGCTGCGCTCGACGCGGGGGGGAGGAAGAGCTCTCGGGCGAGGCGGGCGAGACGGAGACGCAGGAGCAGCGCGACCCGCGCCGCTGGAGATCTCCGAGGGGGACGTGCCGCCTCCGCGGAGCGGGGCACCGGCCAAGGCCCGCCCCCGGGGCGCGTCATCTGCTCCCCGTCCTCCCCCATGCCCCCCCTCCGAGGCTGCAGCACCAGAGCGGAGGGGCTCCCCCGGCGGGCCTGCAGTGTCGAGGGCTGCGAGCTCGTTGCCGACGGTGTCCCTCAGCACCCCCGCGTCGCTCGCCAGCAAGCGGTACCGCACACCTGCTGGGCGGGGCAGGCAACGTTGTCGCCTCGCCCACCAACGGAGCCGCTGTCCCACCAGCGGGCCTACATCCCCTAGGTGAGACGGGGGTGTTGTTTGTTTCCTTTCTCTCTCTCTTTCTCTGTCTCCTGGGTTTCGCACCACCCAGCCGTTATCCTACCAGCGGGCCTACATCCCCTAGGTGAGACGGGGGTGTTGTTTGTTTCCTTTCTCTCTCCTTCTCTCTGTCTCCTGGGTTTCGCACCACCCAGCCGTTGTCCCACCAGCGGGCCTACATCCCCTAGGTGAGACGGGGGTGTTGTTTGTTTCCTTTCTCTCTTTCTCTCTGTCTCCTGGGTTTCGCACCACCCAGCCGTTGTCCCACCAGCGGGCCTACATCCCCTAGGTGAGACGGGGGTGTTGTTTGTTTCCTTTCTCTCTTTCTCTCTGTCTCCTGGGTTTCGCACCACCCAGAAGGACATCCCCGGAACGCGCCCTCCCCGTGCACACGTCCGGGTTGAGATCGTCCTGGCGATACCGAGCCAGCCTCACCCGACAGGCCCGTGCGGACCCGAACCATGGCCCCCGCCAGAGCCAGGATGCCTGGCCAAGCTCGCTGACCTCCACCTGGCAAAAAACAACACCACGCCTCCTTGACTCTGGGGGATGGACAAAATCCCCTTTAGTAAAACGTGGCTTAGTGATAACGACCTTGGGCCCAAACCAGGCGGGCGCAAGGCTGGAAAATGACGGCCGCGGCGCTCTCTCGAGAACCGAAAACGGACAATTCAGGAATCGACGTGTCAGGGTGGGGGCTCTGTCCACCCCCGAGACACACCGCCTTCAGGAGCTCAGTTTGGCCCCTCTGCTCCGACTCTCAAGGTCAGGTTGAGCCAGCACGGAGCAGGGCAAGCAGGAACCGCCGCAGCAAGGGTGGTGGCGAGGGGCAGGGGGGCCCGCGGAAAACACAAACGGACATGCGTGGTCTCTTGATCTCTGGACGTGCTTTTTGCTTTGGGTGACACAAGAAGGGCTCCAGCTGAGAGGGGGTGATGCCATAGATTCGTTGCAAGTGTATTGCACATGTATTGCACCGGAGAATTGTATTGCATTGTGTTGCGTGTAATGTATTGCGCGCGAAAATCCAGCAGTACACTTGCGCCCCGGAATGAAGTGCACGCCCCAGATGTATTGCAACCCCGCAAATCGATTGCACCAAATCTATTGCATCACCCCCTCGTCGCTGGACCCCCTTGTGGGTCCACGCGATGTTCTTTGGCTGCAAGGTCGCAGGCGCCCGAAGAAGACGCGAGTCTGCAAGACCGTCGCGGCGCGACCGTGATGAAGATGAGATTGCGCATAGCAGGACCGAGCCTCGCCTTGCCATGCGTGCGGCCATCCTCTTGCAGTCATCTGCTCCCGGAAAGCCGCCACCGTGCCCTCTGCACGAAGCGGAGTGCCCCTATAGACTCACATCTGTGCTGCTGTCGGGGATGGACAGACCTCCCTTTAGTAGAACGTGGTTTAGTGAAAACGACCTGAGGCCCAAACCTGGCGGGCGCCAGCCTGGAAAATAACGGCCGCGGCGCCCTCTCGAGAACCGAAAACGGACCATTCACTAATCGACGTGTCATTGTTGGGGGTTCTGTCCACCCCCGATGCTGCAACCACGGGTCTGGATTCTCAGGGGCCCAGGGGCCCAGGCACCCGGTCAATTACCCGGGAGCTCCTGCAGGGGGGCCGGGCGCTACATAGGAGGTTTTGCGCGGGCCTCCGGGACGGTGGCCCCTTCGAAAACGGCCCGAGACAGGGCACGTATAAAGGGGCCCTGGGACACACAAATAAATACATACAGATAAACATATCCCCCATAGTTTCCCATATGTTCTGGGCTTTTGTCTTCCCCCCACTTCCCATATCTTCCCATATTTTCTGGGGAATCGACGATTAATTGTGTCTGTGTGTGTGTGTGTTTTTGTTTTTTTCTCCCCTGAACGTAAATCGTCACAAGCGCACGCAGAGGGTCCACGAGTGCCCCGAAACGGCCCCGGAAGGCTTCCAGACTGGCTACAACGATGCCGTCCAGATGGCCCAAGACGCCTCCAAGACGCCCCCAAGAGGCCTTCGAAGGCAATCAACAAGAGCCAAGATGCTAAAATCATGGACTTCCTCTGGGTCTTTGGAGGATTTGGGCGTTCTCGCCTTTTCGGCTTCCTGATGCCCCAAGACGGCCCCCCAAGCTCGCCCCAAGAGGGCCCAAGAAGCCTTCACGAGAGCCCCAAACTGGCCCAAGAGGGTCCTAAAACTGCCCAAGAGGGGCCCCAGACGGCCAAAGAGGCCCCGAAGATGGCTACAAGAGGGGGCCCCGACGGAGGACACGAACGGACATTTCGAGCTCTTGGCTCCGAGAGGCCCCAGAGAGGCCCCAAAAGGCCCCCAAGCGGCCGCCAAGAAGCCGCAAGAGGCCCCCAAGACGCCCCCAGGGAGCCCCAAGAGGCCTCCAAGAGGCTTCCACGAGGCCCGTAAGAGATTCCCGAACAGCCCCAAAACAGCTCCCAGAAGGCCCCGGAGAGCGCTCCGAAGAGATCCCAAGAGACATCCCTGAGGACTCTGACCCACTGAGCTATAACTTACTGCGCGTCGTCCAGAAGAGCGCGGAAATCTCTCCAACCAGCCCGACACATTGGTGCGACTCATAAACAAATCTCACAATGGGAGGCTCGCGAACCTGCCACGAGGTTGCTCGGCGACAAGATGACGTGCTTGCCGATGATAAAGCCTGCGCGAAGAAACTGCACCCTTTCCTCCCGCATGCACTACTTGCACGACATTTTGCAGCACAGGACGCCTGCCACGCCCAGGCCAACCCGACCAGACTCAGAGGGCGCCAATCGCCATCACGCTGTCCCCGAGCGTGCACTAGCGCTCTACGGTGCGCACCTTCGCTTCTGCCCGTGTCTTGCCGCCCGAGCATCGCTTATCCGACGATCCCTATCCCCAGCGGCATGGCCTGGGCGCCACTGGCCGATTTATCCCCCTAGATGGGGATGTAGGCCGTTCCCTTCGGGCTTCGAGGGGTGCATCCCCAACTGGAGGGATAATTTAGTGGGGGTATCGAAGGGCATAGGGATGGGGATGGGGGCCGGTGAAACGAGACTGACCGCCGCCGTCCCGCGGCACCCCGCGAGCCGCCCGGTGCTCCGCCGGCGCCGCGCTTGCCCCATGGGTCCCGCGCCTCGCCCGCTCCGCAGCCCGCTGCCGAAGCGAGCCGGGAGGCTGGACCAGCGACCCCCCCCGCGCCTCCAGCGGGAGCGGCAAAGAGGGGGGCGTCCAAGGGGGGGGGTGTGCAAATCATGGCCAGCGGCACGTGCGCGGCCCAGGGGGGGGCCAGGGACGTAATGAAATAAGAAGAGGCGCCATGAGATCAGGGGAAATACCATGGCCCACGCCATAATATCCACTCCCCCTACTGCGCCGATCCGAAAGTCCCACCAGCCCTTTGGGCGTAGGTGGTTTAGGGAGTTCCCTCTTCCATCTTCCCTTCTTCCCCTTCGGGGAGGGGTTTCCCCTCCCCCTAACCCTTTCCCCTGGACCTGGACGGGGGGGTTCGCTGGTAGTTGGAGCGTCCAAAACGGCCTGGGCGAGGAAACCACAATCATAGTTTTTACTACGGTTTTGGCCGATTGTAGAAGCTCCCGAGGGGGGGGGCTAATTGGGGGACCCCCTTCCTTTGATCGATCACCTCCAACATGGCCCCAAGAGCGCTCCCAAGGCTCCCAAGAGCGCCCCAAGCGGGCCTCAAGAGGCGCCCAGGAGGCCCCAAGAGGTCCCCAAGAGGCCCTGAAGAGGCTCCCTAGATCCCCAAGAAGCCTCAAGAGGATCCTCGAGGCATCCAAAAATCCTCCAGGCGCTCCAATAGGACCCCAAAACAACTTCCAAGGGACATCCTAGGAGGCTCTTGTGCACGTCATTGTTCTTGTTCCTTCTCAACATTCTCATCTTCCTCATCCTCCTCCTCCTTCTCCTCCTCCTCCTCTTCCTCTTTCTTGTCGGCCTACTCCTCCTCCTTCTTCTCCACTTTATCAGCCTCATCCTCCTCCTCCTCCTCCTTTCCTCTTCTCTTCCTCCCCCTCCTCATCCTCCTCCTCCTCCTCCTCCCCCTCCTCCTCATCATCCGCCTATTCCCCCTCCTCCGTCCTCCCTCCTCCCACTTTTCCCACCAGCGGCCCCTCCTCCCCCTCCTCCTCCTCCTCATCCTCCTCCGGCTCCTCCTCCATCTTCGCCCTCTTGGGTAAGACGGGTCCCCCAGCCCTTTGCTATTCTGTATGCTCCCTCACTTCCCTGATCACCGCAATTCGCCTGGGCATCGTTTCTGGATGGGCTGGTGGGGATACGCGAAGCGTCAAGAATTTCCCCAATTTCGCCACTGTGCCGGCCGCGGCCGTCTGGGGTGGCGCGCGCGGGACAAGACTCGCGGGGCCCGAGGGCGGATGGTGGCGATGTCGCGAGGGCAGAGTCGGCGCGCCGATGGGCAGCCCAGCGCTCCGTTTGGCCAGATGGGCCCAGTGCACAATGCCAGGGCAGAGCCTAACCCCCGCCTGGGGTCGCGGGATCGGGCTTCCCTTCCCAATTTAAAAGTTTAAAGCCCAAACGGTGTACAGACCCGAAAATGAGCAAGCGGCATCGGACCTCCTCGAAAAAAGGTTTCGGGTTCGGTCATGCGCCGACCCGAAAAGTTTATCGGCCGACCTGAAAATGGCCAAATCCCATAGGACTTGCGCCCCAAAAAAATTCGGGTCCTGTTCGAACGACCCGAAAATGCGCAAACCGATGAGGACTCCATGCAAAAACATAGTTCTCGAGGTCTTCGGGCCCGCTCCGCAGAAACCGAGCATGGGCAAACCGCCTAGAACTTCCTATCAGAATCGGTTTCTCTGTGGTTCCGGGCCTCGTCCTAAGGAGCCGCCGATGGGCAGACTGCTCCGGACTGCGCAAGAAACTGTGTCCCGGGTGAGCCATTGTCAACCGGAGCGCGCACCGCGCGGGATCGGGGTTCGCGCGGGGGCGCGGCTTCTCTCGCGCGTCCAGGGGGCATGCATTGTCGCGCCCTTCCAGAGCATTGCGCTTGCGCTGCATTCGCGCGGCGCCGTGCCTCTCGAATCGGAATAAGCTTTCGGAGCGCCGATGTAGTCATCACCCCCCTCTTTGCCGCCCCCGCCTCCAGCGGCATCCCGCGGCCCCCAGCCTTCGGCCGGGCATGTCCCCCTATACGGGCGGACTTTGGACGGAAAGCTCAGAAGCAGCCCAGGGATGCCAAACAATAGTGACAACTGCGCGAACAAAAACGTCCCCAGACAATGTTGAAACTATTTTTGGATATTCCCCCTGTAGAGGAACAGGCCCGACTTAACCCCAGTCCCGACACGCGCCCACGAACCGGCCCTCAGCGCGGCCCCGACCCGCCTGCGCGGCGTGCCCACGACACGCCCATGACACTCCCGCGACCCGCCCACGCCAGGCCCGCGACACGCCCGCGACGCGCCCACGTGGAGCAGAGCAGACAACGACGACGACGACGACAGCACGACGACGACGATAACGACGATGACGGGGATAACGGCGATAACGACGATAACGACGATAACGACGACGACGACGACGTCGACTTCGACGACGACGACCCCCTCGCGAGTCCGTTCCTGCGGCGGGTCCTGGCACCATGGTTTCCCCCCTGCGTTTCTCCGAAGCGGGCTCGCGCCGAGGAACTACTTCTCCGCTTGCCAGGTGCTGGGCGCGATTTCAGGAGCCTCAGCTTGTGGGCTCTACCCCCAGCGCCGAAACATGGGAGATCGGCCCCCCGATATCCGTCATATTAAATTCAAGCATCCCGGCCACACTGGGATCTACATCCCTCGCCATCTCCAGGAACAACAAACAGCTATTTGGTGCACGCGCGCTATACTAAACAATACCATTTTCTCACCAAGTCTCCTTCGCGACAAACGCATTACGGGGCGCGTGCGCGCGGGTGGCCCACACATTGTCGAAACATGGTGCGTCACAGACAGTGATGACAAAGAGTCCTCTTCCAATCTGGGAATGTCAGATCTCTGCGCGCGCGCACTCGATGACATCACTGTTGGCTAGGGAGAATGGTCTGCCGTGCGGTCCGCTCGGGCGCGCATGTCGGATATGTTCAGCCGTCCTCATGCGCGGACCACCTCTGTCAAGTGATACCGTGCGGGCCACGCGCGCGCGCGTCTCCGAGAGCACACGTCGAACTCCTTCCGAACCGATTCGTTATCTAGACCCACTGATTCAGCACTGTCGTGTTCAAAAACCACGGACACAAAAGACGTCTGAACTTCAGCGGGCGCGCAGTGTTTCATCATCCTGAACAACGCAACGGTTATCATCATCGTCAGCGTCACCGTTGTCACCGTCATCGCCACGATGATCACCATTGTCTGGGTCATCGCCGCCGCCGTCATCGTCGTCATCGCCTATGTCGTCGCCCTCTTGGAGAAGCTGCACCACGGTACTGCTCCATCATCACCAGCACCAGCACCAGCGTCATCGCTGCCAAGAAAAATTCGCATCACCATCAACTCCATCACCATCACCGTCGTCGCCGGCGATATCGCGTTGTAACCACCTGTTTTGTCATCGCTATTAGCATCAGCGTCATCAACGCTGTCATCTCGATCGTCGTTTACGCAACCATCGTCACCATCGCCGTCACCATGTCGCGACCTGTAGGACTGACTGATCCATGCGTTGGGAACAACGTGTGCGTGTGCTCTTTGCGATCATTGCAAAATAGTTGTTGGCAACCAGTTGCGGGTGGAAAGGTGGGATGCTTGCCTTGCACGAGCAACAGACTTGGCAGGGTGCCCCAAACCCGCGTGAGCCTGAAGGGACCAAGCTCAATGTCCAAACATGCGGCCCACATGAAAACGGGCGAATTGTAGAGAACGGCCCGCGTCCGATCCAATGTTTGGACACAACGCAACTCCCAAAGCCGTTTTTGGCACCGCTGCGGTCACCATCTTCGGAACGTGTTAAACAAAAAAAGTCCCAACCAGAAATGTTCTAAGAACGCAAACAGACATGTTCTAAGAACATTTCGTGGAAACCACAAAAGGTTCTTAAAACATTGTTTGGTAGGGCTATAGGCGAGCCAGGACGCTTCGCCACAGCTTGAAATGAGGGCGCCCGTGCACCCGATCGGGCACGGGCACGAGGCCCCAAGCCCAACGGCGTGAATCCTCGAAACCATGACGCAAGCCCCTCGGGCAAATGACACGACTCCGCGGGGACAGCATGGCGGATCCTCACGGTCGCGGCGGAGTCCCTGGAGGCCACGATGCAATTTTCCAATGTCACGGCTGTGCGTGGTGTCCGAAGCACGGAAACGCGCACCGCACGCCATACAGTCTCTTCGCGCGCACTCTGCGTGTACGTCGTGACAAGACGAAACATGGGGCACAAACGATTCTTGGGCACGCCCACTCGGGGTGTTGGGCCAACCCGGTGATTAAATTAGTCATGTCGTCATACCGGCGGAACTTCGAGGAACAATAAGCACTCAAACCAAATCAAAATTAGTCCATCAAAAACAAGACGTACTCGAAAAGCCGTTCCCAGACTATGTTTTGATTATCTTTGAATCACAGTGAGGGGGCCGAACAGTCATTCATTGTCCCTGGGTGCGTGTCCGAATAAAGAATTCGTGGTGGGAAATTTGTTTGTTGCGTTGTTGTTGTTGTCGTTGTTGTATGTGTTGTTTGTTGTTGGTGTTCGTTGTCGTCGTCCCACCCGCGACCCACCCGCGACCCACCCCGCGACCCACCCCGCGACCCACCCCGCGACCCACCCGCGACCCAGCCCGCGACACACCCGCGACCCACCCCGCAACACACCCGCGACCCACCCGCGACCCACCCGCGACCTACCCCGCGACCCACACGCGAGCCACCCCGCGACCCACCCTCAAGGGAGGAAAAAACCATTCGGACCAGACAGTTGACGTTGTATAAAACGGCCCTCGGCGTTGACTAAACAGCCCAGCCCGTTCGATCCATTCCTTTTGTGAGTTCAATAAACGGTTTTGCTCGCGGGGGTGATTTTTATGGGGAGACTCTCTTGTCAAACTTGAAATTGTCAACTCCACTGCTCGCGCAATCATCCCGCCCACCCACCCGCAACTTGGCTCGCAACACCCGAGAGCGATCGCGATGAGTTCTGGGTGTTGGCTGGTGCATCCTTGTAGCCGCGCTAGCCCGCGCATGTTCGCGCGGGCAGCGGCCGGCTAGTTTGGCGCGACCGACGCGAACACGGTGGCGCTGACCGCTCGGCACACCCCAGCGGGCACTTCACGTGCGAGTCGGCGGCTTGGGCGGGCGCGGTATCATGGCAACGTCGACGACGGTAGACACGATGATGGTAGTAGCGATGCTGGTGGCGATGCTGACGGCGACGGCGGGGCAGCCAGTGACGGCGCCGATGCTGATCACGCCGACGACGATGACCGCGTCTTCGCGTCGATGATTGAGGTTTTAAAAACAATTCGATATGCGCGCGCGGCAGACGCGCGAAAGTGGCTCGCACGGTATTAATTGACGCGGAACGTGCCACCCCAGCACGCGCGCAAGGGCGTTCGAACGATTTCGACATGCGCGCGCGCGAAGTCCGTTTATGAAAATGTTGAAAAATGGTTTTTCTCACGAATTCGTGAGGGCGCGCGCGCACGCTTTTGTTGAAAAGCATTGTCGCGAAACCATGTTGGTTTATGTTGTTTGGACACTCGGTTTTGAAACCTTGAACCGCAGGTTTTGAAGGATTTCGGCATGCGCGCGCGACGACGCGCGCGTGTGCACTTCGTCTCATTTTCTGAAAGGGTTATTGAGAACTTATGGTGCTTGATACATGAATGTGCGCGCATAGTGCTTTTCGTTGCAAGGAACCGAAGGGGGACCGATACCGGCCTGCTGGGATAGTATGAATTCACAGGTCGGATGGACATTGGGTCAGGATCATGTGTTTTGCATCGGTTCCTGGGGAATCGATTCGTCCGGGGGGGGAGGGTGGTATAATCTATTTCGTTTTTAGAAAGGAGAACTTTCTGCCCTCTACACCCGCGACCCACCCGCGACCCAACAACGACCCACCCGCGACCTACCCTCACTGGCTCAGCGAAGAAATCTGACCCTGCGGCGGGCTCGTTGTACGTTGCACCCCGCAGATGCGGATAAGAGTGAGGGGCGGCAGTTTGCGAGACTCTGGGGAAGCCCGCCGCAGGTGCCAAAGTTTCACAAACCGGTAAAATGAGCCCGCCGTAGGCGCCGATTTTAATGTTAAACTAATGTGGGTAGGTCGCGGGTGGGTTGCGGGTGTGTCGCAGATGGGTCGCGGGTGGGTCGATGTTGGATCGCGAAGGGGTCGCGGGTGTATAGGGCAGAAAATCCCCACCATAATAATAACCCCGGCAAGCGAAGCCGTGTAGTAAACGCACACAGGGTTTGAATCGAACAGGGCAGGGCTGTTTAATAAACGCCCAGGGCCGTTTAGTACACGTCAATTGTTGGGTCCGGGTGGCATTTCCTCCCTTGGAGGGTGGGTCGCGGGGTGGGTCGCGGTTGGGTCGCGGTGTGGGTCGCGGTGTGGGTCGCGGATGGGTCGCGGATGGGTCGCGGATGGGTCGCCGCGGGGTGGGTCGCCGGTGGGTCGCGGGCTGGGTCGCGGGTGGGTCGCGGGTGGGTCGCGGGTGGGTCGCGGGGGTGGGTCGCGGGTGGGGTCGCGGGTTGGTCGCGGGGTGGGTCGCGGGCTAGGTCGCGGGGTGGGTCGCGGGGTGGGTCGCGGGTGGGGCGACGACAACAAACAACAACAACAACAACAACAACAACAACAACAACAACAACAACAACAACACCAACAACAACAACAACAACAACAACAACATCAACAACAACAACAACAACAACACCAACAACAATAACAACAACAGCAACAACAACAACAATACCAACAACAACAACAACAACAAACATTTTAAGACTGTTCGCCCTTATATGCTCGAGTGTCCAATAACGCGTATTTCCCAAACCCTCGATACCCGCCCCCTTCGTCTTCGATCGAACCCCTTTTGGGGGGTATACCTTTCTTCCCTGCAGGCCGGGCCCCGGCAAGCGGCGGGGCGGCCGCGGACCGTCGGCCTGGCCAGCGGAAGCGCTGATCGGCGGGGCGGCCGCGGACCGACCCCAAGGGACGGACAGGGGACCGACCACGACGACGACGACGACGACGACGAAGACGACGGCGACGACGACGACGACGGCGACGACGAGCGAAAGCGAGAGCGAGAGAGAACGACAGCAGGGCCATGAAGGACACGAAGTAGGCCACGAATGGCGACAGCGGGGACACGAAGGGAATGCGTATGGGGCCACGAAGAGCGCGAACGAGGGGGGATCCTGTTTCCGGTCGCAGTTTTTGGCCGTTTCCATTTTCAAGGGACACTTTTTCGGACACGGTGAAAAAACGGCCCTGCCGTTTCTGGGGCCCACTGAGCCCTGGGCTGCTGGTGGGGAGGGGCCTGTAGAGGCTGGGGCTGTCATGAATCATGGCCACTTCCACCTCTCAAGACAGCTGTCGACAAACGCTCCTCCTCCTCCTCCTCCTCCTCCTCCTCCTCCTCCTCAACCTCCTCAACCTCCTCCTCCTCCTCCTCCTCCTCCTCCTCCTCATCCTCCTCCTCCCCCTCCCCCTCCTCCTCCTCATCCTCCTCCTCCCCCTCCTCCCCCTCCTCCCCCTCCTCCGGAAATCGAGAGGCGAAGGCGGCAATCTTCTCTGCCCCGCGAGGGAGGAACTGGGCGACGCGGCCACCACCCCACAGGGGCGGCTGGAGGATCGAGCCTCGAGAAAGAGAAGTCGGGATCGGATGGGCGCTACACCAGCTGAAGAGCTGGCCCGGTCCAGAACGCAAGATGGGCCAATCTTCCACCACCACTGCCACGAGTGGGACGAGGGGGCAGAAAGGACGAGGGGGAGGAGGGGAGGTCCTCCTCCACCTTCTCATCCTCCTGCTCCCCCTGCTGCCTGTGGCAGCGGTGGTGGAACATCTGCCCATGAAAACGCCAGCTGGCCTTGGCCGCTGCCGTGGGCGAGCGCGGACACGTCCACCACTGCGGCCAGGGCGCCCGAGGAGTCGTTCGTGGGCCAGAGCTCGAGCGACCCGTGGCCCGCGCGGACGGTCTCGCTGAAGGCGAGCACCTCGGCGCGCCGGAACTGGCCCTGGGTCTCCCTGGAGGGGGGAGAAGGAGGGGACTGCAAGGCCAAGGGTCCTTCTCTTCCACCGCCTCCTCCATCCCTGCCTCCCCATCCTCGCCATCGCTTGGACGTCCGTTCCCCCCTGTGCATTTTTCGGTTTTGTGAGCGCATTTTTTTCGCAACGTGAACAGAAACGCTCCTCGATGGCCCTTGCCGACAGAAAATGCACACGTCCGAACGATGCCAAGCATCCTCCGCGACCTAGCACTCCTCATCGCAACTTGTGGTGGGCCCTGCGGAAGAGGAGCTGTCGCAGACTGGTGTTTCTGCGTCCGCCTGGTCCTCGTCGTCGACGGCGTCGTCGTTGTAGTGACTGTGGTGGTGGTCATATCCTCGGAAGATTCGAGCATGGCGGTGTGCTCCTCCCATCCGGTAGGCAGCTGGCCGTTCTCATCGCCCCCAGACCTGTCGATTTCATCCTCTTCCTCACCATTTTTCCCCTCCGCCTCCTACTCCCTATTGCTGTTGTTGTTTCCCTTTGCTTCGCAACTGCGGTGCACGCTGCGCGAAGACGCGAATCAAGCTGCGCTGCGACTGCTTGACCCACACGCAGAAATGTCTGGGCATAAGGCGCAGGGGCACTGAGGGAAACGACTGGGGAGGAGGGCTGGGCAACAAGCCAGGAACCGGACCTCGCAGATGAGGGATGCGGGAGGGATTTCAGCAGCCGCGTGCCAACCGCGCCTTCCTCCCTAACTGAATCACCAAGCAGCTGCGTCAACACGACATCCGCCAGACGATTGGAGAGCTCGTGATCGTAGGTCGCCTCACGGCCCACGTGCCAGCCTGTCGCCCGCGGGTCGGCGGCGCCGCACAGGACTGGGGGCCTGCAGAATGTGGAGGCTGCCCGCGACGAAGTGATGCTGAAGGGGGCCTGGGACACACAAATAAATACACACAAATTAAAACGATTCCCTATATTTGTCCATATTTTCTGGGCTTTTGCCTTCCACCCCACTTCCCATATTTTCCCATATTTTCTGGGGACTCGTCCATTAGTTGTGTCTGTGTTTTTTTTCCCTCCTGAGATGCCCCTCCCTCTGGGCAGACTGTTTTTTTTTGGGGGGGGGGGGGGGCGGGCGGTGCTCTCGAGGCCGCCTGGACCTGCAGGGCCGCTCTCGGCACGTGGCCGCAGAGGCGAAAACGAGGGGTCATTCGTATGCCTCTCCGTGCTCGTGCGGCCCCCCTCGGCTGGCACAGCGGAGGCCTGCAGGACGGCAAGGGCGGACGGAGACCCGGCGGGCGACGCGGCGACGCGACGGGGAGCGGCCGGGGAGCGAGAGAGAGACGGGGGGGACAGCGGAGAGATCGCGTGTAGGACGAGGGCCGAGGCGGGCGCACCGCGGGTTATGCGCAACCAGAGCGAGGTCGGGGGAGAGGGCGCGCGGGGCGCGAACGGCGGAGGAAGCAGATCGCGAGGAGGGCGACGGGGGGAGGGCGGGGCGGGAGCACGCGCAGAAAGCGGCGGCAGCACTCCTCCTCCTCCTCCTCCTCCTCCTGCTCCTCCTCCTGCTCCTCCTCCTGCTCCTCCTCCTTCTCCTCCTCCTCCTCCTCCTCCTCCTCCTCCTCCTGCTCCTCCTCCTCCTCCGCGCAGAAAGCGGCGGCGGCAGGCCAGCGTGCAGGCGAGATTCTTCTGAAGGACCCTGCCTGGGGCGCGGAGCCAGGGGCGTCCGCAGCCAGGCGAGCCCCAGCGGGAGCGTCCGATATCCCATCGGGTGCGGCAAAGAGGGGGGCGTCCGAGGGGGGGGGGTGCAAATCATGGCCGGCGGCATGTGCGCGGCCCAGTGGCGGGGCCAGGGACGTAATGAAATAAGAAGAAGCGCCGTGAAATCTGGGGAAATATCATGGCCCACGCCATGATATCCACCCCTTCCTAGTCATCCCCCCCCCTCTTTGCCGCCCCCGACCCCAGCGTCCACAGTGCCCGCAGGAGTAGGGTTCGCAGCGGGTCGCATCCTGGACGTCCAGGCGGACGGCTCAGAGACTTGCCTCGGTAGAGGGAGGAAGGGGGGGGCGGGGGCCGAGACGCTGCAAGAACCTGCGGCGCGGCAGCGATGGGGGAGCAAGGGAGCACCCCCCCGCGGGGGACATCTGGCCAGCGGCGCGCCCAGGCTGGCCAGAAAGGGCTTCCCCGAGGGCGAAAACCACTTGGAAACCCAGGTCGCGGAAGACCAGCTCCATGATCGCCACCGCGGCCCGATCAGAGCACCTGGCGTGACGTGCCGGGTACGCCCCCACGGGTCTTCGGGGCCGTTCGCTCTCCAGCCGCATGGCAGCGACAGGCCACGGCGACGTGCTGCGAGCAGCTCCCCAGGGCGGAGAGGTCACTGGCGAAACCTGCCCAGAGGGAGCCGGCCTTGGCGGGCTCCTCCCGGTCAAGGGCGGGAGGCAGCGAACCATCGCGCACCCTAGTGCGCGACCTCCTTCTCCTCCTCCTCCTCCTCCTCCTCCTCCTCCTCCTCCTCCTCCTCCTCCTCCTCCTCCCCCTCGCTCGCCGCCGAGGGACATCGGCTCCCCGCCCTGTGCACGCAGGTGCACGACTGTTTGGCGACATCCCGCGTTTCGCCCAGAAAGGGGCTTGCGGTACGGACGATGGTGGAGCGAGTGTCGAGGATGCCACGCATCAAGCCATGATGGGGGGGGGGGGGGGCGCACCATGGAGCCAAGCACCGACGGCAACCAGAAAACCGTCGAGCAAGATCCCACCGAAGTGAACACGCTGGCTGTAGGATTAAGGAGGAGGAGGAGGAGGAGGAGGAGGAGGAGGAGGAGGAGGGGGAGGAGGAGGAGGAGGAGGAGGAGGAGGAGGAGGAGGAGGAGGAGGACGAGGAGGAGGAGGAGGGAGACGAGGAGGGAGACGAGGAGTGGCATGAGCATAAAAACTCGGAGGGCTGCACGGCTTCCTCGGCTACCGGCGCTGGGCGCCCCCTTCCTTGGGGCGCGGAGCGCGCCAGGGGCAGCGCCGGAGGACACCGCCGAGGGGGGGGTCCACCGCGGAGCCGAGACATCCGCGCGGACCTCCGCGCTGTTGTGTTGATGTCGTTCTTCGTTCCCCTGGTTGATTTGGACGCCCGACATGGGTACCGAAAAAATGGGTGCGATGCCCAACAAGAAATGTTGTCCCAAACCAGCAGCGGCCGCTGTTGGGCAGGCGGTTTTCTGTCTCGAATGGGCACAGGCCGCGGCGGCGCGGACAGCGAGTCCTGTTCAAAATGAATAGGAGCTGCTGTTGGGCATTGTACCCATTCTTTCCGTCCCCATTTCGGGCGTCCAAAGTTGAGCAGGGACCGGCCGTCCCGGCATTCCTGTAGGCCTGCCACGACATGTTCTTAGAACCCAGAAGTGCCACAAGAGCAGAAGCCATGCTCTCAGAACCGGAGCCCGAGGTGTCAGAACAAGACTCTCCCAACCAGGATTGTTCTGAGAACATGTCGCGCAGACCACACAAGGTTCTTAGAACACTGCTTGGTGGGCCTCAGTCGGTACGCCAGGTCGCTCCCCCACTGCCTGACCTGTGCTCTGCGATCCAGGGCTCGGACCGCCGTCGCGCGATCCCCCCTGGCCGGCCAACAGAGCACGGGCAGAGGAGCGAGAGGTCGGCACCGCGCACACGCAGAGAGCGGGCGCGCCGGGCAGCCAAGGTCGCGCGCGCCCCGGCGCGCCGCGGCGCCAAGGACGTGCAGGACCGCAGGGCAAGCGGCGTTGGGTCGGGCAAGTCTTCCTGCAGGCGGACTTCGGACGAGAAATGGAAGATAGTCCAAGGATGCTCCCACATAACCAAAGAAGAATCAGAAAAATCGTCCCCAGACTCTCCTACAGGCGGATTTGGGATGAACAGTTGTGAAGAGTGGTCCAAGAATGCTCCAAAAAATAGTCAAAACACCGACAGTAAAATCGTCCCCAGACTATTTGTTCGACTATTCCCGAAGATTCCTCCTGTAGAGGAACATGCCCGACTTCATGCAAGCGCCTGCAGTCTTGTCGGCGATGTCATTGGCAAGAGGAGGGTTGGGCTCAAACCTCAGAGTGGTGGCCTCTGAAACTTCCAGGCGGCTGGGGCCCAGGCCACAACAACATCACGCCTACTGCACAGACGCTTGGCTCTTGGTGGGCTTGTTTTCCACCACCACCACCATGAGTAGGATGGGAAGGGGGTCCTCCTCCTCCTGCTCCTCCTCCTCCTCCTCCTCTTCGTCCTCCTCCTCATCCTCCGCCTCCTTCCCCCCTCCAACTGATGGTGGTGGTGGTGGAAAACAGGCCCATCAACTCTGGACCGCAAGTCGCGGTGGGTCTGGATTTGTCCACAGCGCCCGAGGGAACTCTAACCCCCCCCTCGCAACGCAGGCTGAGTCAGCAATGTATCCAAGGGGCGACCCCTGAGGAGCCGGCTCCAAAAACTTCAGCAAGGTCCACTACTCCCAACGATTCACACTCTGCTTGCCAGGGATGCCCCCTCCATCTTCACAAGCAGGGCGGGCCGCCGCCACCGTACTCGGTTCACTGGTCCTGTGCCGAAGAACCGGTTCCGTCTCAAGACACCGGCGTGAGCCTGCGGTCCCTAGATCCCTAGATCAACCTCCTCCGCTCGCGTCACCCGCCTGGAGGAGGAGGATAAGGACGAGGAGGAGAGGGAGGAGGAGGAGGAGGAGGAGGAGGAGGAGGAGGAAGATCGTCGCCACAGAGCGAGTCATCCTGCCTACCTCAGCTCTCGAAGTTGCCCCCCGCGCCGCGGCGGGAAGCGCATGCCGAAGGGGCGCCTGCGCATGCTCTTCCCGCCCACGCCGCGGCGCAATTCCAGGCGTCCGCGCGGATCGGGCACGAGGGCGCTCAGGAAGCGGCGAAGGGCTCCAGCGCCCGTCGAGCCGCTCTGGCCACCGACACACCTTCACCGTGGATCCAAGGGAAAGGGATCCATGGAGAGAGCCCGCATCGTGGATGCAAGGGAAAGGGATCGGCGAAGAGGAGGAGAAAGGAAGAAGGGGACGGGGCGGGGATTGTGGAAGGCGTCGTCATGAGAGGACTGGAGGGGGGGAAGCGGAGGAAGACGGCGAGAGCGGCGAGAGAGAGGAAACAGAGGTGGATGGGAGGGGAGATCGGGGAGAAGGGGTGAGGACGAAGGACCATGGAGGGTGAAGGGGTGGAGGACGAGGAGGGGCAGCTCCTGCGAGGAGGACGCGGAGACCGAGGGACGAGTCAGCACCAGCATGGGCCGCGCTCTCTTTGTCCCACGCCGAGGAGCCGCCGCACCATCTCGGGCCGTGCGCCGCCCGCCACCGCCGCCGCAGCCGGGGGTGAGGAGGCAACTCCTGCAAAGGGGGGGGGGGCGGCGAACCTGGGCCCCAGCAGACTGAACGGGATGGCTCCAGACTTGCGGGATTGAGCCAAATGAATTTGGACGCCCGAAATGGGTATGGAAAGGATGGGCACAATGCGCAACAACAAATATTGTCCCAAACCAACAGCGTCCGCTGTTGGCAGGCGGCCTTCTGTCTCAAATGGGCACAGGCCGCGGCGGCGTGGACAGCGAATCCTGTTCAAAATGATCAGGAACTGCTGTTGGGCATTGTACCCATTCTTTCCGTACCCATTTCGGGCGTCCAGATGTCCGATCAGGCCGGTTGTCGACCAATGCCTTTCAATGTACCAGCGCCGATGCCGAATGAACCCCCCACGGAATCGCATTCTGACGCAGGGAAGGTATCCCGCCCTCTGGCGACATGAACAGTCATGCCTGCCTCACTCGAATTTAGGGCCCCACATCATCAGAACACAACCCTCGGGGAGAAACCAATCCCGGAGATAAGGTTGATAACTCTGGGGCATGCGTCGTGAACAGAAACCACAACTGGGCACACACACCACCACCAACCTTTGCATATACACACATAGAGAGATAGACATGTACTTGTATACATATCTATACACATGTCTGCCACCATACCTGCACGGAATGGGCACGTTAGCATGTCTGTTTGTTGTTTGGGCTGTTATTGCCAATCTTTCGGGAGGCGCACCCCTTCGCCTACCCGCGCGCGTGCTGACAAACAATCCCCCTGAACTTGCTCTCCGGCGTTCTCTTCGGCCTCAGGGCGGCCAGGATCGCCTCCAGGTCGGCTTCCAAGGCAACCAAGATGAGATCGAGACAGCCCACGATGGCCCCAGAACTCCTCAAGAAGGCCCAAGACGGCCTGAAGGCGGTCCAGGCCCCCAGGACGGCCCAAGAGGGCGGCTACATCCGGGCGTTGGCAGAACTGGGTCTAGTGTTAAGTCGGGCGTGTCCCCCTACAGGGGCATTTTGGACGAAACATGAAAGATACTCAAACAATACCCCTCAAATGCTCAAACATAGTTTTAAAACAAAATAGTCCCCAGACTGTTTTTCGACTATTTTTGAATATTCCCCCTGTAGAGGGACGGGCCCGACTTCAGCCTAGTGGGACCTGGTTTAGTGATGTGCACTGGGGGGCGCCCGCCCCGTCCCGTTCCACTAACCGGAACTGCCGCCACCCGGAAAACACCAGCTGCGGGTGGCAGCAGTTCCTCCCCGCCTTCCTCTCCCTCCCCCGCATCCCCACCCAAGATGGTGCCGTTCCCCACTTCATGTGTTTGTCCAGTGCGAACGCTGCGGCAGACCTGGTTTAGGGATTCTGGCCAAGTTGAGGGCTCCTGGGCCCTACTGCTAACCGGGTCCCCTTACCTGGGGTCCTGGCTACAGTCGGGGACTTGACCTAAGGAACCCTAACTAAGGAACGAGGCCCCATTTTTCCATAAATAAAACTTCGATTCCCTATCGAAAACAGAAGGGAAACCTGAGGCAAGCTGTGAAACACTTGAGGAACGCGGAGCCCCTCCCCAACCAAAAGGGTTCCTTCTTCAGGGCCCCGACTGTACTGCTAACCAGGTACCCTTACCTGGGGTCCTGGCTACACCCGATACAGGATGACCTGAAGGAGAGCCCGAGGGGGCAAGAACCATCCAGTACCCCAAGGCATTCCAATGACGGTGAGGTCTTCGCATGTGCAGGTCTCCGACCGCCAGAAGGGGGGCCAAGAGGCCTCCAAAGACAGCTCCAAGACAGCACAGGAGGCCCCCAAAAGGGGCCAAAAGTCGGCCTAAGAGGACCCGCGGATCGGCCAAAAGACTCCTGAGAAGGCCCCGACACGACATCTGAGCACTGCAAGCGCCACCAAAACGGCCCAGAGGGGCCTCAAAGAAGGCCTCCGAAGATGTCAGGCGGGTCACAAGCTCCATAAGACGGCCCGCAAGCCCCA